ATATACATATATACATATACATATACATATACATATACATATACATATACATATACATATACATATATATATATATATATATATATATATATATATATATATATATGTGTATAGTAGTAAGTTTGAGTAAAAAAACGTAATTCAAGACCTAGTACATTCTATTTCCTTCACTATATACACTAAGGTTTAAGCCTTATTATTTCACTGATTGCATAGTATAAGTTCGAACTGTACTTCTTATTTATATATTTATTTAATAATATTTAAAAAATTAAATTTTTGTGGGGAATTGTTAGAATTGAATAATGAATTTTTTTTTAATTTCTTTTGTGTTATTTTCAACATGTCATTTTATGTTTTAACAAGGGTCACCAATGACTCAAAATATTCACCACTTGAGAATTCCAAGTAGCAAGATCTCTTTTGATTTTATCATAGATCTTTTCTTCTTCTAAAAGGTCTTTTTTATATTTCTTCCTATTTTTTCTTTTCCAGTTTGAACTGAAAAAATTTTCATCATCCTTTCGTACTCCAGCACAAAGGGCTTACCAATCGTATTTGGGACATCTTCTTGGATGAGATTTGTCATAGCACAATGTCAAACATGATTTTAAATTCTTTTTTCTTTTAACTTTATCTTATTTATTAAAAATATTATTGACTTATGTTCTAAGATTAATCTGATCGTTTTTTTTTTTGTGGTGTTGCTTCCGTGTTAGGAATCTCAAGTTGGACTATCTTGATCTCTACCTCATACATTGGCCAATAAGCTTGAAGCCCGGAAGATGCCATTTCCCTTTAAAGAGCGACGACATCCTTCCATTAGATTTGAGATCAGTTTGGGAAGCAATGGAGGAGTGTCAGAGGCTGGGGTTGACCAAGTCCATTGGTGTCAGCAACTTCACGCGGAAGAAGATTGTGGAGCTACTTGACATTGCTAGAATACCTCCCGTTGTCAACCAGGTTGTCTAATTTCCTCTGCTCTCCAATGACAACCTTTAATTTTCTTGTGACGAACATGGTGAAGAAGAAAGATGATGTTTTGTAGGTGGAGTTGAATCCAGTGTGGCAGCAGAATAAGCTGAGGGAGTTCTGCGAGCAAAAGGGTATTCATGTCACTGCCTATTCTCCTTTAGGAGGCCAAAGCTTGTCACTGGGCAGAAACTTGGTGTTGGAATCCCAAGTGCTCAAAGATATAGCCGAAGCAAAAGGAAAGACTGTGGCTCAGGTGGTTCTTGCAAATTGCTGTTCCCATCATCATAACACTCCTTTCGAGTAGATGAACTTTAGCTCCATTTGGTTCTCTTCGCAGGTTTCCTTGAGATGGTTATATGAGCAAGGAGTAAGTATGGTTGTGAAGACGTTGAACGAGGAGAGAATCGAGGAGAACACAAAAATTTTTGATTGGGAATTGAGCGATGAAGATCGTCACAAAATAAGTCAAATGCCACAATACAAGAGAGTCTCCGTCCGATCGCTGTTATCAGCGGAAGAGTCGTCCAAGAGACTTGACCTTCCTAGTATTGATGACATGGATGAAGATTAACCAAGTTGATGATATAAGAATGCTGTAGACAGACAATGTGTTGAATTGATTTCATATATTTCTCTCGCATGATGATGATGTTTCCACTTAAAGTGATAAGATTGTTCTTATGCGATTATTATTATTTATTTATTATTATTATTATTATTATTATTATTATTATTTGGTGATAAGATCGAGATTGGATATTATAAGAATAATAGGTGTTGCCAACTGGGTGGCAATTGGGATATTATTTAAAGGAGTTGGTGGGAGAGAGCTCGCGCTGGTCACCGAATCGAACCCGGAGCAGATGAGCATTCCGGAAGTGGCCCTGAGCTCCTCCTCCACCACCCGGGCGATGCCGGTGCTGGGCATGGGCACCGGGGGCTACCCCTTCACGGTGGACGCAAAGAAGAAGCTCGCCATCCGCCACGCCATCGAGCTCGGCTACCGCCACTTCGACACGGCCTCCCTTTACCAATTCGAGCCGGCCCTCGGGGAAGCCATCGCCGAGGCCCTGCACCTCGGCCTCATCAACTCCCGCTCCGACCTCTTCATCACCTCCAAGCTATGGTGCACGGACGCTCACCCCGATCTGGTCCTCCCCGCCATCCGCGAGACTCTCAGGTGGAATGACTCATAAATACCTTTCAGCATCTTAAATCTTTGCCAGATCTAAGTTTCTGATCGATTCTTCTCTGAAAATCGTCTACGTTCTGTAATTCGATTGAGCTTCTTAGCGTTCTTGATCTTGTTCTTAGGAATCTCAAGTTGGATTACCTTGATCTCTACCTCATACATTGGCCGATGAGCTTAAAGCCTGGAGCATGCTCTTTTCCTATAAAGAGCGAGGACATTGTCCCATTGGACTTGAAATCAGTCTGGGGAGCCATGGAGGAGTGCCAAAGGCTCGGGTTGGCTAAGTCGATTGGGGTCAGCAACTTCACCCGGAAGAAAATTGCGGAGCTACTTCAAACTGCTAAGATACCGCCGGCTGTCAACCAGGTAAATTGGCGTTCTTTCAGGACTTCCGATAAAATTGTTGAGTGTTTGGTATCAAACATGGTGATGAGAATAGCATTTGTAGGTGGAATTGAATCCAGTGTGGCAGCAAAAGAATCTGAGAGAGTTCTGCAAGGAAAAGGGTATTCATGTCATCGCATATTCTCCACTAGGAGGTCAGGCGTGGCCAGGGAGCAAGAACCTAGTCTTGGAATCCGAGGTGCTCAATGACATAAGCAAGGCGAAAGGAAAGACTGTGGCCCAGGTTGTTCTTTTAATCTCTTTGTGTATATCTATTTTTTTTTACATCTTTTACTGAACTTTTCACTAAGAAGAAAAGCCAATTTCATCAGCTAGAAGGTTCTAGGGTGCATCTACATAGTAATATTGACCAAGATTTAAAGTATCGGTCCGAGACTGTTCAGCAACCAATCAGATCTTATGATGCAAATATATCACGAGATGTACCGACCTGTACATTCCAGTATGATCGTAAAAAAAGAACAATAAGACTAAATTTCAAATTGTACTAACCTTTATGTTCTGATATCAATCTTTGGTCGAGTCACTAAATATTACAGTATGTAACAGTCTGATTGATACCTGAAACCTATATCTTGACATTTTTCATATATACTTCAAAAATTTAGCACGTAAATGTGCATCCTTGTTGATATTCCTTGTTATATGACTCTAGTTTTCTATATCTACAGTTTTGTCCATCTCATAACAATCTTTCACCATATTCATAGTTCACCATGGTATATCTGGAACTGTTAAAGATTTGGATCACTTGCAATTAATCAGATCTGACCTATGTTTTACTGAAACCTTTAACCTAAGCACTGTGAAGACGTTCAAAGTTGAACCAGCAGTTATCAACAAGAAAAAATGAATTTTTCGATAAGAACACCCAAGAACTAAAGAAGATTTCTAAAGATGCTACTCCAGCATACTTAGTATTTGAGTCAAAAGAACCATTATAATTTAAAATAATGTAACCTTCAAGAAGGGGGAAATCTGTAAGATTGTTCTGTACGACAAAACACCCCTGAGATTCCTCAGAATCTGTTGGTGATTATGGAATCTTACGAGCTTGACAGCTGTGGAAGAGAGTCATTTCTATTGTTAAAGAAAAAGCCATAAAGAATTTGATTCAAAAGCATCATTTTATTGGTTTTGGAGGGGGAATGGAATGAATATCGCTTAGGATTCATGTACATAAAATCATCAGTAGAGTAGTCTCGATTTTATTGGTGACTTCAGTAAGTAACATGGAAGAGTGAGAAGTCAAGGAAGGAAAGGGAGATTGAGAAGAAGTCTTTCTTATTGGACAAGATAGATTGTAATGACCTAGTCTTTAAACTAGAGATACTTTTGTGAGAGAAGCCTGACGTGCCTTCTCAGTGGCATGATGGCCTTTGTATCAGCTTTTGCTGTTTGTTTTGGAATTTATGATGAGTTAAAGGCATAACTGTCAAAAGAGACATGCTAGATGCATCATTAGAAACAGTTTTTTCCATGAGCCAAAAACCCAAATTAATGTTGTGATAGGGTGGTTTACTAGCTTTTCTTGAAGACCAAATCATAGCTTTAATCCTTGTTAGTTGAGGGGTTAGCTTACCGTAATGAATCCTTACATCAGATTTATTAGGTTGGGTCTCAACCTGATCATTATTCACACCAAATGAATTATAGCCCAAATTAGTATCTGCTGAATGAACACTAGATTGGGTCATACCCCCATCAATGTGATTTTTTTTTACCAAACCCAAAGGTCATATAACATATCATCATTTTCCTTGTAGGTTTAACTAAAAGAAAATGATCTTACTTCGGGTTTCGGGAACTTTTAAAGAAGATTCATTTATGTCCTACAATATCATAATTTTAAAAATCCTATGTTGAAATTTTCTTTTGCAACCAACTATAATCCAGACCCCTTGAGGAAGGGCTTTGGAGCCACTGGGATATAAACCTATCAAAATTCACTCAACTCAGAAGGAAAAATATGGTCATTGTTGAGGGCTTTTCTAAGTAGAACTACTATGGTTTGGTTTGAGGAACTTAACTAAATTACCTAGAAACTAAACTTAGTGCCACAGTAACCTTTCCGAAAAGAAGTCGAAAAATTCTCCTTCCAAAAAATGATACTGAGAGCTTTCCTTCTGAAAAAACTAGGTCCTATAATGAGGACATGGATCATGTTCTCCTCAAAGTGAAATCTAGAACAAAACAAGCTCTCTACAACCTTCCTTTTAAGCCAGTTAACCCAAACAATAAACCAAATAGGCTAAATTCCACTTGTCTCTTGTAATTTGAACCTCCACAAGGTCAAGCTCCATGGCAAGCATTATTATTTCTGAATCCTTGGGTGTTTGGCTTCCAATCTCTCATTTGCTTTCCGAGAACTGGTTTCTTTCAGATTTAAGGGTTACCCAAGAGGCATTGTATTGACCTCGTCTTGCCCAGGCTTTTCCTGCAAGCACTCAGTTTGGATAGAAGATGTTGAGGGTGAGGAAAACAGCCAGTCATGAATTCCTCTTTCTGAGTCATCCCAATTTCTGACCTATGTTGAGAGTCCAATCTCTTAAATGGTACATATCTTTTTGGGCTTTGAGAAATAGCTTTATAGTACATTATAGATCGTCCTTTTATTAATATTGAATTATCTACAAATAAATTATTTGAATTATCGATCATTATCGTCCGATACAAACCTTGTATTGATCGGCACGTGTCAGGTTGTAGAACCACCCGATAGAGAGCAGTTCGTGTACCAATCCCCTATCGGACTGGTGTACCACCCGTACCGAGTGGTACAAGTCAGTACGACGAACCCTAGTCTTAACAATAGATTCAAAATTTCCTAGTTTAGCTATTATTTCTGTACTGTATAATAATGAGTGGAATATGGAAGCCATACTGCACTATCATGCCCTAAAGTTTTGAGGAGGGTTCTCCAACTCCGATTCAAAATGTTTCTTTAGAAAAAGTTAAACAAATCATTAAACACATTTAAGAGAAGAAAAAAAAGGAAATTTAGAGCTTAAAAGTTCTGTTCTTTGCCCAAAGAAAGGCATCACATGAACTTGAATGCCTAGTAGAATTAGTTCCTAGTAAGATAATGCCTAGATTAAATGTCTATGCTAGATATTTATTATATATTACAGTGTCTTATTCTATGGATTCCAAGTGCTTATGCAATTGATCTCATGTGAGGTTAGTTTTTATGTACAAAGGGGAAAGCATGAACCTTATTTTGTATGTAGACAATATGTCAAAAATATTTTGAGGAAATTTCTAGTAACTTGATGATCACCACAAACTGTGTGGGTCTCAAATTTTACTAGTTAATAATTTCTTAATCTCTTGTGGAGCAAATTGGAATATCTTGGGCTAGTTTCCAGCTAATTAGTGGTTTTGAAATCCATTTCTAAAAGGAATGGTATACGCAAATCCATAGCATTCGTTGCAGTTTGAAGTCTTAACTAATATTATCCATTTTTACTGTTTCTTTTTAAGAAAGGAATGTCCATTTCTTGTACTTGTCTGCTTTCATGCTTTGTGATGTCGATTATGATGATCATAACCACTTACCTTCTCATGCATTTATAATACATGACTTATAGATCTGATTGTTAATGAATCTCTGGTAGGCGTGGATGCATTTGTCATCAGCTCAGACCCTATTAATATGTTCTGCATGCCTAAGATTGAACTCATTACAAAATTGACTTCAATAGCCGTGTAGCTGTTTTCATTCTTTGGAATTGGTCACTGTAGCATTAGATAAAATGTTCTTCAACAATCATAAATAACTAGGCAAAAAGCTTTCTATGGAGTCATGTGATGAAATCCGTCTAATGTGTAAACATCTTTAATGTTGCTTTTACTTCCTGTTTCTACATTTAGAGTTCCTCTTCCTCATACACCCTTAACTGGCTTTCTGTCTCACGTTGACAGGCAAGTCCCTCGTACCTTGTTTCATGTCTCAGGAATTCAAAGGCAATGACTACAATATTATACACAATCAACTGAAATCTCAAATTACACTATGACATTATCCCCTCAAACTCAAACCAACCTATTCAACTAGATATGAAGTGCTTCTTAGCTTAACCTGTTAACTAAAACTGGCTAATGCACATTAGCTACTAATTTAGATTTAAATTGTTCCACTTTTCCTTGTAGATTTTATGCTTCACTGTGTTTGCTATCTCAATTTGCTTCTTCTTGATTGGTTCTATGAAATGCTTTGTAGCGCAATTCTACTTTTTGCTCAAAGTAGAACCCTAACTAGCAATGTGAAATTATGCCACATACCATGTGCTAAAAGCATCACTTCCTGTATTCGATCTTAAAAATTTGAAGCAATTGCTGTCACGTCTATGCACGAATTGAAAACCCACTAGGTAGTTCTTCCATCGTGCATGAAACAAATTCTTCTAATCCGTGTTCACTTCTCATTGCAGGTATCCTTGAGATGGATATATGAGCAAGGAGCGAGCATGGTTGTAAAGAGCCTAAACAAGGAGAGGATGAAGGAGAACATGGGAATCTTCGACTGGGAGTTAAGTGAGGAAGACCACCTAAAGATCAGTCAAATTCCACAGTGCAAGAGGATCTCCACATATTCACTGCTCTCACCACAAGAGTCGCGCAACTCGATTGACCTTCTTGATGTTGACATCGTTGAAGATTGAATTTTGCATCACAGGGAAATTTGAACCAGCAACCTCTTAAAAGAACATCGAATGCCAACAGGCAGTTGATTCACATCCTATCATTGTTCGAGTCTCAGATTGTGGTGCTGTGTGTGCAGCAAATCACATACGTATCAAGTGAAATCAACGACAGGTTCGAAAGCTCGGTATGAATCCTCATGAACAAGAGGAAAACAATCAATCCACTGATGAAAAGAAAGAGAGATTGAAAAATATGCACTTATGTGATGAATCCTGAGATGGAATAAATATTAATCTCCCATCATAAAAGATTTGAAAATTTTCAGCACAACTCACTCAAAGCTCCAATAATTGAAGTTTAACTGCGGTGAGTGCTTTGCTTCACAGGCCATGCACAGACCAATCCACCGTCCTATTTCGTGGGACAATCTCTTACGCTTTTGTGGATTTTCTAAAGATTTGACATGACATGGTGGGCAGGTAAAGGAGTAAAGCTATCCGCTGTCTTCATCCCCGGTGACGCCCAAAAGCTACAGCAAGGCCATGGCAAGACACGGTTGCAGGGATCCGCTCAGGCCTCCACTGTCTCGACTCCATGCATGCAAGGGCGTCAATGGTGCGAATGATTGGACTGCGGGCACAGTACTGCCCGCGGTAATGCGTGCAAGCTGGGAAATGTTTCCTGCAGTACTTCGTCGAGCTCATGCGGCCGCAGGTGTTGGCAGACATGAAGCAGGAGAGGCTCCTGTGCTTGTGCTGATCTGCTTCTTCCTCACGTATGTTCATCAGAAGAAAAGAGGAGGCAGAGGTCGTATCTGTGTCCTTTGTGTTTTAACTTCTACTCCGTGGCTTTCTCCATGATCTTTTGGTGTGAGTGGAACCTGTGCGAGTGTGTTCTTTAGAATCCAGTGGCATGGATCGAAGAGCCATCGCGCATGTTACCTTACAAGG